TAAGCGTAGATCTAGTTCTATGTCACAGTCATGTAGTCCCAGTTCAGTCTTGTGTCCCAAGCTGAATCATTCTAAGTTTAAATCTGATACTTTCATTATCAATGGAAAGTTGCTTACTTCTGGGGTTGTGAATCCTTGCAATGATACTTTTGGTTCTGATCATGATGTAAATGTTGTACGTGAGAAAGAAAAAGGAGAGCGCAAACAAAGAAAACAGTCTGAGAATGGAACTGTAGAGGGTGTCTATGATCTTCCAAATTTAAGATATCCTCTTAAAGTTCATTCGAAGAAACATTTACAACGTCTCTCTAAAGAAGAAATTTTCAAACCTTACCTCACGAACCAGCCATTCACACACAAAGACAATAACTCTGTCTCCTCCACTCCTAAAATCAAACAAAAATGGATACCAAAAACTGAACTTGAAAAACAAAGAACATTATCTGAAAAGGCTGTTGACCGTGGATCACAGCTGAAAGAAAAACTCAAAAGAATATTCTCAATTGATAAGGAAGGACCCATCCTGCGGTGGGTACCTAAAAGTCCTTAATCTGTTTTGCAGGACGGTCATGTGTGGCACTTAGATTCAGGCTGCTCAACCCACATGACCGGAATAAAAGAACTGTTGAGCAACTACACCAAATGCTACGGAGGAAATGTGAGATTTGGAAACAACGCGGCTTCTCCAATCCTAGGATATGGGGATGTCATCTGTGCAAGTGTCACCATCAAGGCTGTGTCATATGTGAAAGGACTGAAGCATAATCTGCTAAGCATTGGACAGTTCTGCGATAGTGGCATGGAAGTGAAGTTCATAGCCAGACAATGCTGTGTGCTGGACAGGTTTGGGAAGGTGTTATTGACCTGCACGAGAACTTCCAACCTGTACACCATTGATCTGAAGAGCGTACAATTACCTTCTTCCATCTGCCTGCTGTCCAAAGCTTCCTCTGAACAAAACAGTCTATGGCACAGACGCCTCTCACATCTTAACTTCAAATACCTCACAACTCTATCCTCCAAGAAACTTGTGAAAGGGCTGCCTCCTTTGAAGACTTCCGCTGACACTCATTGTGATGCCTGCAGACTAGGCAAGATGAAAAGGAGCTCTCACAAGTTAAAATATGTTCCATCCTCCTCCCGACTGCTTCAACTACTACACATGGATCTGTGTGGACCAATGAGAGTCCAAAGCATCAATGGACGCAAGTATACACTGGTCATTGTGGATGACTTCTCTCGGTACACATGGACCAAATTTCTGAGGACAAAGGATGAAACAGCTGCAACCATCATAACTCCAATCCCTCTAACTCATGAGCGGAAATGGACGAAGGCACATCCTGCAGAACAAATTATTGGAGATCCAAGTCGTGGAGTTTGTACAAGAACAGCCACAGCAAATGAATGTCTCTTCTCTTGCTTCATCAGCCAATCTGAACCAACCAAAGTTTCTGAAGCTCTAACAGATCCAGATTGGGTGATAGCAATGCAGGAGGAGATCAATCAGTTTGAAAGATTGGATGTATGGACCCTGGTGCCAAGACCCCCAAAGAAAACAATAATTGGCACCAAGTGGGTCTTCAAGAACAAGAAAGATGAAGACGGTGTGATTATAAGGAACAAAGCCCGACTGGTTGCAAAAGGGTACAACCAACAAGAAGGAATTGACTATGATGAAACCTTTGCACCAGTGGCCAGAATTGAAGCAATAAGGTTGTTCCTTGCCTATGCTGCTCATAAGAGTTTCACCATCTATCAAATGGATGTAAAGACTGCGTTTCTGAATGGAGAACCTAAAGAAGAAGTTTACGTGGCACAACCAGAAGGCTTTGTTGATCCTGAACATCCACATTATGTCTACAAGCTGAAGAAAGCTCTGTATGGACTAAAACAGGCACCGAGAGCCTGGTATGATGCACTATCTGATTTTCTTGTACAATCAGGTTACTCGAAGGGAAAGATAGATCCAACTCTTTTCATCAAGCGAGAGAACAGTGACATCATGCTGATACAAATCTATGTCGATGACATCATATTCGCCTCGTCCAACCCGAACTTCTGCGAAGAATTCAGTAAATTGATGCGCACTGAGTTTGAAATGAGTATGATGGGAGAGTTGAACTTCTTCCTAGGGCTACAGATCAAGCAACTGCCAGACGGAATTTTCATCAGCCAGTCGAAGTACATCCATGAAATGCTCAAAAGATTCAATATGGACAGCAAGTCAACCATGAAAACCCCCATGTCTCCCTCACAAAAGCTCGACTCTGACCCTTCCGGGATATCAGTCGATGCTACCAAGTATCGGGCTATCATCGGTTCCTTGCTGTACCTGACATCTAGTAGGCCGGATATTGTCTTTGCAACTTGCCTGTGCGCTCGTTTTCAAGCAAATCCAAAGGAATCACATCTGAATGCAGTAAAGAGAATCCTGAGATACCTAAAAGGAACAGTCAATTTAGGACTTTGGTATCCCAAGGACACGGGTTTTGACCTTGTTGGTTACTCAGATGCTGATTTCGCAGGTTGCAAGTTAGACAGGAAAAGTACATCCGGTGGTGCTCAATTTCTGGGAGAGAAGCTAGTCTGCTGGTCCTCCAAGAAGCAGAATTGCGTGTCCACTTCTACAGCCGAGGCAGAATACGTTGCGACTGCTAGTTGCTGTTCACAAATCCTATGGATGAGGACACAACTCAGAGACTATGGCTTCTTATTCAACCATATTCCCATCTACAGTGACTCCCAAAGTGCAATCGCCATAACCAGCAACCCCGTTCATCACTCGCGCACCAAGCACATCGACCTACGGTATCACTTCATCAAGGACCATGTGGAGAAGGGAGATGTTGATTTATACTTTGTTAGCACCGAGCTTCAACTGGCTGACATATTTACTAAGGCATTGGATGAAAAGAGATTCCAGTTCTTAGTATCTAAGTTAGGCATGTTGAATCTCGATCCTATGTAGTTGTGTTTTCTCCATGGTCTGAATAAAATGTGTGTGTGTGTGGTGTGCGTTGCATGTGTTGAGGGGGAGAAAAGGGAGAAATTAAGAGAGAGAGGAAAAGGGAGAAATTAAGAGAGAGAGGAATACTTTGAGGGGGAGAAAAGAAGAAAATCAGAAAAAGAGTGTGTGTGTGTGTAGAAAATCAGAAAAGAAAAAAAAGTGTGTGTGTGTGTGTGTTTTTCATCTTTTTTTGCACATTTCGAGGGGGAGTTTTGATCTGAGAAAGTTTTAAAAATTTCTGAACAGGGCCCGCTCTTGACATTTGGGCCCAGATTACTTTTCACAAGGCCCAAGTTCCAACTTTTCGCATATAAAAGGAGACTTCGAGAACAGTTTCTCGCATAAATCTCATTTTCTCGCATCTTGAGTTCTCGAAGTCCAGCATCTTTCTCGCAATTCCTTTCTCGAACTCAATCTTCTCGAATCCGTTCAAAAGGTAGAAATAATGGAGTTCAATCATGAAGAACTCAATAACAATGATTTTTGTACTTCAAAACAAGTTCTCGAATCTCACTCGAGAAGGTTTTTCTCGGAGTTGGATCTCGAGAACTATTTTTTCTCGAACTTGGAAACTTGAATTCGAAAAGTTTTAATTTGATTATTATTATGATTGTGTGAATTTGCAGGTGGTTCTCGACATACTCTCTGAGTGCGAACTCGAGATCAACTTCTCGATACTTTGAATTTCGAGGGACGGTTCTCGATGTTAAACCTCGAAAAGATACTTTTCGATGATTAATACCGAGAACCTACTTCTCGAAGTTGGAAATATCGAGAAGAGGTTCTCGATACTAAACCTCGAGAAGATAGTTCTCGATGTTTAAATCTCGAGAAGGACTTTTCGATACTTCCATATCGAGAACCAAGTTCTCGATATTTGAGTATCGAGAAGAGCTTCTCGGTATTTAAACCTCGAGAACCTACTTCTTGATATTCAAACCTCGAGAAGTTAGTTCTCATAGTTTACACTCAGAAATTTTCTCGAGGTCCCACCAGTACACACCTGATCTGAACAATTGCAAAAAACAGAACAAAAATAAAATTTTCAAATGAACAATGTGCTGACCCAATTCTTTCAGTTAACAATGTCAGGAACAGACAGAACTGCACAACCAAGCAATGATGTATACCCTAAAGAGAACTGGGTCCCACTGTATGACAACAACTTTCAATTGGACCTGAAGCTCTTCAAATGTCAGGACCCAGTCATTCTCTCCATCCTACAGAAGCACTACCTTTGGACTGCTTTCAACGAAGCCAAACCAGTACCAATGGTGTATCTACAACAGTTCTGGGGCCTGATGCACACAGCCTCAGAGAAGGACAGGTCGAAGATAATGACCAAACTGAATGACGTGCGGGTGGTGCTAACACCATCAACAATCAGGGAGACACTGAAGCTCCCAGTGCTCAAACACTACGCACCACTCCCCTCAAACGAAGAGCTGATCAAGGGGATGAAAGATCTTGGATACGACAGCCCACTGCCCCTGCTGTCAAACTTTACAATCTCCAACCTGCCTCACCCGTGGAAGAGTCTGTTCGGCCTGGTCAATAAGTGTCTATCTCCTAAGCACGCCGGACATGACAAGTGCAACAAGCAAATACTTCAAATCTTCCACGGGATCGCCTTTGACAAGCAGTACGATATGGCTCAGCTTTTCTGGACAGAGCTAATGGATCAAGTGAAGATGAAGGAGAATCATAAGGGCAACACAATCCCTTACGCTCGGTGGCTGGCGCTGATCATCCACAACATTATGGAGGCCACCCCGACAATGCCAAAGCGTAAGGAGGACAAGCATTTCACTGCGCCCAAGCTCAAGTACTTTCAGAGAGACAGCAATAAGGCTGAAGCACTGCCTATCCCGGACTCCTTGCTTAATCTTGCAAACCCGAGGGATAAGGCAGTCGTCGACTACAAAGAGTCGCTGAAAAGAACGGTTCCCATGGTTCAGCAAAACCCAGCTGGACCTTCCCGGGGAACTAAGCCGAGAGCAAGTGAGGGTAAGAAGAAGAGAGCCCCGCCACAGAAACCAGTGGCAACCCGGCCTAATGATGATCAGTGATCGGTGTATTTTTTTTAGTGAGTAAAACGTAGTTGGCTAATCCGAAGAATAACCAGACCACGAGTATCGTCTCTCAAGGAGTGGCAAAAAGGAAGTTTTAAATACAGTCCGTGATCACAGGCTAGCACAAGTCATGGTAATCTTTCCGAATAAATATTTTTTTGAGTGGTTTAAAAATAAAACTAACTAATAGTGAGTGCAAAATTAAATAGAAAAAAAAATTAAATTAAATTGATTCAGGATATTAAAACAGGGTTCAAATTGGATGGTTCGGGTTCTGGGTGTTCTTTCGGGATTAGAATTAAGTAAATTAATTTTCAATTGTTCCTGGAAAAAAAATGAAATAAATTCTCATAGACAAGAATTAAATCAAATTTTTACAATCCTAACTTATTTCTAAGATCAGATTGCTTGTATAAGATCCAAGCTAATTTAACTCAATTTCTCATAGACAAGAACTGAATTAAATAATAAATACAGAAAATTCATATATGAGGTGATCAAATTCATATAGACAATTATGACCAATCTTATACAATTTTCCAGAAAATTAATTGAATTTCAAAAAAAACTAAATTCACACCCTCAAGAACCCATGAACCCTAGCCCCAATTCAAACCCTATACGGAATTAGCTACTCATACTAAAAATTAACATCACAATAATGTTCATAAGCATTTTCAGGAGCTAGTTAAATAATTAATTAAAGGAAAAAAACAATGACTTAATTAAATGAGAAAAATCGGAAGTTAATAACTATAGACTAAGAAGTTCCAATTCAATCCAAAATCCAGAACTAGAATATGCTGAAACTTACAATCATTGCTAGGAATGTAAATTGAAATGATAAATTGCAGAAAAGTGAGGTTTACGACTCTCCTTGCTGCTGCGGCTATCATAGGAATAAAGAAGAAAAAAATCCGTTGCTATCTTCTTGACCAAGAACAGAACAAAATTCCTCCTGCTGCTTGTTTGTGTGCTGAATGAATGATTGGAAAACTCTAGGGCTGCGGCTAATTGATAAGGAAAAGAAAGGATGGAATCTCAACAGCGGCGGCTAAGTGCCGAAGGAAAACTAAAAAAACTGCTCATGCGGCTAATTGGACAGAAGAGAAAACTTGTGCTGCTGGGGTTAATTTCCCCAAGTGAAAAGAAGGGATGGGTGATCTCGTCCTGGGCTACTGCTAATTTTTTTTCGGTGGACTGCGCTTCACCTTTCTTTGCTTCGGGCTGCACCAAATTGTTGTTGAAAGAACTCTCAAAAATTCCGGTCCAAACATAAATGTGTTATTCACCGCAAAATTCAGCCTGTACAAGTACAACTCACCAAACCCGCTAATAATATGTAACTTTACAATCAAATTACTCCAAAAATGTCAAATTGTGTACAAAAATACTACACTGAATATGAATGCCACCGGAACCGAAAAATAACAAATTTTCACTCAAAACCCCCAATAGTCACTCGATTAGTTGTAAAAATTAGACAATTAACACCCAAAGCATAGGTGAAAAGATAGGAACGGAACGAGCCTATCAAATCTCCCCACACTTGAGCGTTGCTTGCCCCCAAGCAACAGTGCATTAAACTCGCGGAAAAACAAAGTAATCGCATGTAACACCTGATTCAAAAATCATTCACACCCAAAACAAATGACTGCACAAGATCTTTTCTTTCTTAACAACGAAACCAAAACTCACATGTCAAATAATATTTTCAAAAGTAAAATCCCTCTCTAACCGACTAAAATGTAAAGAAAAGCATGATGGTCCCAACGGTGTAGGTGTATGAAATTCAAACCACCAATCATTCCAAAAACCCAAGAGTTGTGTGATAAAACTGGTATACTCGTGATTCTTCTTCTTTTTTTTTTAATATGAAAAGTTGACCAGGTTCTGGTTTGCAGGACTGATTCAAGCTCTAGGGCCTGGGAGTTTATCTCATTACTGTGTACTCAACTCTCACACGGGGTGATTCGCGAGATGAGCAGAGCCCCATTTCGGGGATGAAATTCTCGACACACGAAGTGTAACCCCATTACAAGAATCAGTTACCTACTTAGCATGAAGTTATCCCGATATGCTTAGAAAGCAGAGCTCCTTACGGAGTAAGGATTTTCAACACCTGGCCAGTCAAGGAATTATTGATGAAGAACTACTGAATCACGAGTAACACCGAATTTAATCAACACAAATCAAACCATCCAACATGCCAACATTCCCAAGAATATACTCTCCACGCCGACGATTACACCATTACTAATTCTTTCCAAGAAAGATGGAGGAGAAGAAAATTACAAAAGAAAATAAAGATTAACATGTTACCTCTGTTGCGTTGCTAAACCAGAAAAAACCTCGTGCACCTCAAAATGTTGTTGGACAGAATAACCTCATCACCAAATGCCATGTCCAAGCTAAAACCAAACCTCCCCACACTTAGGGGTGACATCACCCTCGAGGTCAAAGAAAAGATTTAAAAGCAAAAATATCAGGGGCAAGTTAAAGAATAAAATGATTTTCAGCCCGGCAGCACATCATAATCAGAATAATAATCAACACAATTCAACAAAGGAGTAATATGACAGTAAACACACATTCTTAGCAGCGTAGAAAAAGTTGGCAGAATACCGTACAAGCCAAACGTTGGTGAATACCCTCTGAAATAACTTCAAATCTATGCATCAAATAGCTCCTCGATTGCTTGTGATGGGAAGTCTAGGTAGTAAGCCTGGAACCATGATCATTGGGCTGAAATGGCTCTCTTCCGGATGCATAAATGCTGGAAAATCCGCACAAGCCTGCCTCGTGATGCAACTGGCAATCTCTCAACTCCCTGAGTAAGTTTGGATCGCTGCCCGATGAACTTGTGAAGTACAAACTCTCTCATAGGCACTGCCATGTCCATTGCGACGCGCTCAAATAAGCTGCAAAAGGTGAAAATGAAACATGGTAGCACCTTGCTCGCAATCTGGTTGTTACTATGGAGGTTATTTCCCATGAAGAAACACGTTAAGGCAGCCTGATTTACTGTCTGTTAGAACTTCTTTGAACATCAAACTCTGATTCATGTGTAGAATGGCATTCCCAGAAGGCTTTTAGCCCAAATTAATTGGGAAAGAAGCTGCTGAAACTCCTCTGTCTGCTCATACGCCGGGTCATAGAAATCAAAACGCCAACCTGAATCTGCCAACAGAGTCTTGTCCATCAAAATGGTCTACTGTCAACGGCCAGCTTATCTATCCCTCAAAAATCAGCATGTGGCGCCATAAAGAAGCTGCCAACGGCCCCACATCTTGAGCAAGTGTAAGTCTTGAATCAAAATCTACCAACGGCCTGCTGTGAAACTGCAGCATGCAGCCTTGAATAGCCCCATCTACATAAGCATGTGTTCTTCATCTACACCAGTCCATGATAATCCTGTCGTACCTGCATTTCGAAGCAATGAAAGAAATCCAAACGCACAACCACAAGATGAAATCACAAAAACAAAGGAGAAAAAATGCATAAACAAGAAATAATAAACTCCTAATCCTTTTTTTTTGGTGGGTTGCCTCCCAGAAGCGCTTCTTTAACGTCACTAGCTTGACAATAATATTTCATTCCTAATCTGGCTCAAATGGCCAAGTAAAAGTGGTATTTTCCTTATCACCAGGATCAACGTGTATTTGAAAGTACTCGCTCATCCCGTCAAGAAAACAATAATAAGCATGCCCTGCCAAACTCTCAATTAACTGATCAATAAAAGGTAAGGGACAGTGATCCTTCCGGGTGACCTCATTCAGTTTACGAGCAATGACTTGCTCGTGGCGCCTAAGGACATCCATCATTTTTTTCTTCTGTCCCGACTCTAACTGGGTTGAAATTATGACAGGGTGTTGGCCCTCTGTATCCAAAAATGCATACTCCAGGTGACTAGGGAGTGGTTTGAGTTCAGGAGTAACCTTATCAGTGGGCTGCTCCTCAAACTCAGTAAGCAACTCAGGGAAAACATCATCCCTAATCACCTGCTCGCAATCAACAGTCATGTCTTCTTCATTTTCAGCCACGATATCCCCCACATAATGAATGTCACTATCTGGTGGGGTAAAGTCATTATCGCCTCCAAACAAATAACCCTCCACTGACTCAAACATATCAAGATAATTGCATGATTCAGTGTGGTCTGAGGCCTTACTCATCACATCTGAGAGTTTAAAAGTACACACATCGTCCCCAACTCTCAGAGAAAGTGAACCATCAGCAACATCAACAAGGGCCCTAGCAGTAGCCAGAAAGGGCCTCCCTAAAATAAGTGGAGTCTCACGATCTTCCTCCATGTCCATGACAACAAAATCAACAGGGAATATGAACTTGTCCACCCGTACCAATACATCCTCTAGAATTCCTTTCGGGTATTTCACCGATCGGTCCGCTAGCTGGAGGCTCATACGAGTGGGCTTAAGTTCACCCAAGCCAAGTTTCATGACCACAGAGGAAGGCATCAGGTTGATGCTAGCTCCTAAATCAGCTAAAGCATTATGAAACACAAAATTTTCAATAGAACAAGGTACAGTAAAACTCCCTGGGTCTTTTCGTTTTGGTGGCATGGTCCTCAGAACAACCGCTGAACATTCTGCATTGAGATCCACCACTTCTGGCTCTTCCCACCTCCTCTTTTTCGTGAGGAGGTCCTTCAGAAACTTCGCGTACCTCGGCATCTCTGTCAATGCTTCAATGGATGGCATATTGATATGGAGCTGTTTTAGATGCTCCATAAATCTGATCAAGTTCGTGTTATCATTGCTCTTCTTCACCTGTGTAGGGAACGGAAGGGGTGGAGTCTTCTTACTCTCCGCTTTCTTCTGAGAATCTTCTTTCTGAACTTCTTCACTCTTGGTTAGAGAGGGAGCAACCACTTGTTCTTCAACTTCCTTGGATTTGGGGCCTTGAAGCTGCCGGTCATCATCTTGTTGAGGCATTGGCGGAGTAGAAACTTCTGGAAGTGTTCTCCCGCTTCGTAGCGTAACAGCTTGCACATGCTCCCTTGGGTTAGGTTCTGTTGAACTCGGAAGGCTGCCCGTTTCTCTAGGAGCAAGTGAACCAAGCTGGCGAATGAGAGCTTCCAAATTGCTGAAACGTTGATGCATATCAGCCTGATTTTTGGCTAATTCAGCCACTGTTTTCTCTAACGCTGCATTTACAGGAGGCTGCTCAAGCTGTCTTTGATGAGGCGGGATATAAGTGGGCTGATTTGAATTGCCTCTGTTCTGAAAATTTCCTTGAAAATTAGGGGCATTTCGCTGCCCTTGATTCTGATTTTCAGGCCTCCACGTGCCTCCTGCTTGCTGAAAGTTTCCTCTTTGAACTTGGTTGTTGAAAAACTGCCCACCACCTCTTTGGCCTTGATTGTAATCCATGAAATTGACGTTCTGGACCACTGGTGATGCCTGATTCTGAACATAAAGAGGACATGTGTGAGTGAGGTGAGCTCCCATGCACATCTCACAAGATAAAGCGAGTTCTTGGCCGGTTGGGCTTGGATAGCTTGCTCGAACAGGAAGTGGGGCAGAATACATAGGATAAGAGGGCTGATATGCCCCAATATTATGGACCTGCTGCTGTTGAGATGTCTGTGCCTTCAAGTCTTTCACGTCCACAGCCAGCCCCTCAATCTTCGCTGTAAGTGCAGTGATGGGATCAAGATTGAGCAAACCGGGTGGATTTTGAGCTCTCTCTTTACCCGCATACCAATACTTGTCATTTGAAGCCAAGTTTTCAATTATTTGCTCTTCTGCCTGTGGGGATAATTTCAGAAACATACCCCCTTGAGATGCCCGGTCAAGTTCTCTCATATACTCCAACCGAAGACCATTATAAAATCTGCACATAATTGTTGCTGCATTCATGAATGTTTCAGGGCACTTCCTTTTCAACATCTTCAGCCTATCCCATGCCTCACTGAAAGATTCGGTCGGAGCTTGAGTGAAATTGAGAATTTCCGTCTGAACCTTGATAGCGGCAGAGGGAGGAAAATACTCCTGCATAAATGCTTGATGAAGCTTCTCCCATGTATCAAAGTGCCCGTTTGGAAAGCTACGGAGCCACCGTGAAGCTTTGTCTCTCAATGAGAATGGGAATAAAGTCAGCCTGACTGCCTCACTGGACACTCCATTATATTTGAATGTGGCACAAGTTTGAATAAAGCTCTCAATATGATCCATTGGATCTTCATGGGCGTATCCACAAAATGGATTATTAGCAAGCATCTGAATCATGGCTGGCTTGATTTCAAAATTGTTGGCCTCAATGGTGGGTGCTCCAATGCTATTTCTCGCCACATAGTTAGGCGTCAACGTCTCCAGAGTTGTCTGATCAGCCATTTTCTCCAAGTCTTCTAGCAAACGCCTTTTAGCTCTTCCTCGGAATAAGCGTTCAGGATTAGAATAACCTGCAATTAAATCTTGTTCCTCCGAGGAGCGAGTGCGCATGCACTAGTTCCTGCAGCTTAGTTCACGTGCAAAGAACACCAAAAACGACAAACAAATAACAGAAAAAAAATAGAAAGTCTCACCGACTTGCTTTTACCTATTCCACAGAAAAGTACTTAACAAACAACCGTGCCACTCCCCGGCAACGGCGCCATTTGATCGGTGTTTTTTTTTAGTGAGTAAAACGTAGTTGGCTAATCCGAAGAATAACCAGACCACGAGTATCGTCTCTCAAGGAGTGGCAAAAAGGAAGTTTTAAATACAGTCCGTGATCACAGGCTAGCACAAGTCATGGTAATCTTTCCGAATAAATATTTTTTTGAGTGGTTTAAAAATAAAACTAACTAATAGTGAGTGCAAAATTAAATAGAAAAAAAAATTAAATTAAATTGATTCAGGATATTAAAACAGGGTTCAAATTGGATGGTTCGGGTTCTGGGTGTTCTTTCGGGATTAGAATTAAGTAAATTAATTTTCAATTGTTCCTGGAAAAAAAATGAAATAAATTCTCATAGACAAGAATTAAATCAAATTTTTACAATCCTAACTTATTTCTAAGATCAGATTGCTTGTATAAGATCCAAGCTAATTTAACTCAATTTCTCATAGACAAGAACTGAATTAAATAATAAATACAGAAAATTCATATATGAGGTGATCAAATTCATATAGACAATTATGACCAATCTTATACAATTTTCCAGAAAATTAATTGAATTTCAAAAAAAACTAAATTCACACCCTCAAGAACCCATGAACCCTAGCCCCAATTCAAACCCTATACGGAATTAGCTACTCATACTAAAAATTAACATCACAATAATGTTCATAAGCATTTTCAGGAGCTAGTTAAATAATTAATTAAAGGAAAAAAACAATGACTTAATTAAATGAGAAAAATCGGAAGTTAATAACTATAGACTAAGAAGTTCCAATTCAATCCAAAATCCAGAACTAGAATATGCTGAAACTTACAATCATTGCTAGGAATGTAAATTGAAATGATAAATTGCAGAAAAGTGAGGTTTACGACTCTCCTTGCTGCTGCGGCTATCATAGGAATAAAGAAGAAAAAAATCCGTTGCTATCTTCTTGACCAAGAACAGAACAAAATTCCTCCTGCTGCTTGTTTGTGTGCTGAATGAATGATTGGAAAACTCTAGGGCTGCGGCTAATTGATAAGGAAAAGAAAGGATGGAATCTCAGCAGCGGCGGCTAAGTGCCGAAGGAAAACTAAAAAAACTGCTCATGCGGCTAATTGGACAGAAGAGAAAACTTGTGCTGCTGGGGTTAATTTCCCCAAGTGAAAAGAAGGGATGGGTGATCTCGTCCTGGGCTACTGCTAATTTTTTTTTCGGTGGACTGCGCTTCACCTTTCTTTGCTTCGGGCTGCACCAAATTGTTGTTGAAAGAACTCTCAAAAATTCCGGTCCAAACATAAATGTGTTATTCACCGCAAAATTCAGCCTGTACAAGTACAACTCACCAAACCCGCTAATAATATGTAACTTTACAATCAAATTACTCCAAAAATGTCAAATTGTGTACAAAAATACTACACTGAATATGAATGCCACCGGAACCGAAAAATAACAAATTTTCACTCAAAACCCCCAATAGTCACTCGATTAGTTGTAAAAATTAGACAATTAACACCCAAAGCATAGGTGAAAAGATAGGAACGGAACGAGCCTATCAATCAGTCTGCTAACTCTTCCGAGAGGACCCAGACTGCTGAGGGCCACCCTAATGCTGAGGACACTGCCGATGAACCATCAAGCCAGGCTCCTTCTAATAAGGCTGGTGGTGAGGCCTCTGATAGCATGGCCAAGGGAAAGGAGAATAATGATGATGATGATGATGCAGATGATGATGATGACATGGAGGGAGTTCTGATCAGCAACAGGAAAAGAGCCGGAAAGAGAGCCATTCCGATAGACTCCGACTCCTCATCGGACAATGAAGAGGCTGCTCACATGTCCCGACCACTTAAGGGCATTGTCATCAGTGAGCAGCGCTCCAAACACAACAGCGACAAATCTGCATCATCACAGCCTAAGAAGAGGCTAAGAAAGAAGAGTGCAGTGGAGGAGGAGCTGGCACTATACGATGACTGCGACACCTTTGTCACCATAGACCGAACCACGCCCCTAGGAGCAGGAGCTGACCTTGTCAGTTCCCGGGTAGAAGTCGCAGCATCTGGTTCAACTGCGCATGCACAGCCATCTCCCATCCACTCTCCAGCCTCTCAACAGGCTGGAGTTTCAATAACTCAAGGGGAATTCATACCGACCTCACTGGTTCCTTCCGAATCAGTTGAGAGACTTAGTGGTCAACAGCCCCGGACCACTACCCCCATTCGTTCTATCACATCGAGTCTAGGTGTCACCATTCCTACATTTTTGAATTTTTCTAGGACACCTACACTATTCACTGCACATACAGGTGCACTCACCCTGAATGCAACGACCGGAGTGCAAACTATGATGGTCGGAAGCCCTGCTACGCCAACAATGCCTCAATCATTGAACGCAGGCCACACATCAGCTATCTTCACTGATGCTGTGACAACAGTTACAACCCCTGTAACTGGTGCCATTATCCCCGAAGACATCCTCGTATATCTGAACAGCTTTCTAGAGTCTACCATTAAGCCATGGGTGCATGAAGCAATAACTGCTAATGCACAAGACTCTGGAAGTACCCCAGTTGTTCAGAATATACCATCCAAACCCCAGACAACACAGCCCCCAACCATTTCCATACCTGTTTCCAAACCCTTAGCCATAGAAAACCAACAACCATCCACATCAAGGGGAACCCAGGATACAGAACTAGTATTCTCCCCTACAACGACCAAACCCAACCTAACAACTGTACCCTTCGAGGATCTTGTAGCTGAGATCTACGACCGTATACTAGACGTGGAAGAAGGCAACCTCACCCCTCTTCAAAAAGCCCTTCTCCATGCTCTAGATACACAGAACACATGCCGTGACAGTCTCCGTGGCGCTAAACGTTCACATGAGGATCCTGATGATTCGGATTCTCATGAGGGGGAGAACAAGCGCCCGCGGATACTTGAGCATGTTGCTTCTACTAGCCAACCCTCAAAGCCAAATCAACCCTCCACTTCTACCAATGAGCAACCCACTACTTCAGCCAGCCATAAATCCCTAGCCACTCTCTCTAGCATGGTCGAGCTAGACATAACATCCCGAGGTGCATCTCCTATAGATGTTAACCAAGGACGGAATGGAAGTCCTGATGATGCTACCATGAGTACATCTTCTTACTCAGGCCATCAGTTAGAACCTAGTTCGAAACTGATGTCAACGGGCAATCCTGAGGATCCCGGTGGTTCACTTTCTCAGCCAAGGGAGGATTGGCCGCATGTAACGAAGTATAGAGGTCTGGTCTCTGCGCAAGAGCATCGTGTTGAGATAATTGAGGATCCCTGCAAGTCTCACCAGGATCCCGATGCTACGCCAGACGTGTCGCCACAGCAGCAACAGGTTTCCTCTAGCTACTACAATGATCAAATGCATGATGAACTTGAGGAAATGCTGGTGCATAACAAATGGTCTGAACTCTGGACAGATGTAGATGAAGCACAGCGAAGAACATACCTCAGAGATCTCTTAGTCAACTGTGCTACTGACGTGATTCTACTTGATCAAAACGAACTCAAGGAGGGAGAAAACTACGAGACACCACCCAAGGAGCTTGAGTCGATCATTAGACAAACAGCGGCTAAAATGCCCAGAAATGAGAAGCCCTGGGAAAAGATCGACATCAATGCCCCCTTTCAAGAAGAAATCAGAGAAAACATCTGGCGAAAAGAGGATAAGGTCAGAGAACTGGATGAACTAAAGATCTGTGGTCTTAACCATCTACGAGGATAAAACAAGGGCGGACAGCTATTTCTACTCAGTCATCACTATATGGGACAACAGAGAGAAGTCTGGCAACACGAACTTCAAACTGCCAAAGACCCAGTCTGGGCTATTCTCAACGTGGGTGAAACAAACTCCCAAGACATCAAACTCTCTGTCTACCATCTACAACGGTCTGACGGAACAGAATTCACGTGCAAGGAAAATGATCTCTATATGCTAAAAATGGATGACATATATCAGATGTATCTTGCATTTCAAGAAATTCCGGGCACTCGTGACACAACTACACAAAATGGGCTGGATGCACTCAAGCGCTTTATGCTCAGACAAATCAAATTCTTTGCCTCTCATGATCTTCAGATGGCGCTTGAAACAAACATGCCGAAGACAAATCTCACAAAACCAAAGCTGTATGGACAAGAACTTGAGGACTTCCCTGAGTATTACATTTTTGATAGACCAATCACGCTTATCTATCTAAATCATAATGGTGAGAAACGTATGCTATTCATTGATGAAATCAACAAGTATTGTGACGGAACGTTGAAGATCATCCAGGAGCAGCTCCGATCAAAGAAACAAGAACTTGGACAGAAATCGACTGAAGCCACTGAAGGAGACCAGAAGGAACTGCACAGAATTAACAATATTCTACAAGCCATTGAAAAACAACTTGATAAAAGAAACTCACTCAGAAACTATGAGCACGCACTTAATCTCAGAAAGAACTATTACAAAGCTCAGAAGTGAAGAAACCCAGCAAGACGGCACTTGACCACAAAGGGGGAGATTGTTAGAACTTTTATTGTGGGTCAAGTTTGTCTGTAATGTCTTGTTTAAATAAAGTAGACTAGTTATACTATTTATGGTATTAGATTAGTATTTATTATGTAGCAAATAAGGTAAAGGGAATAAGGCCCAAAAAGGCCTTGGCCCAACTTCCAAGGTTTACCTAAATCGGTAACCTGTACAGCGCCTATAAATATGCGCCTTGTGTACAGGTACCGAAATCGATCAATACACATTAGCCTTACGCTGCCAAATTTACTTCTCGATAAAACAGAAAGAAGAATTTCCTTGTTCTCGATATTGCCTTATCATTATCAGATCTTCTCTCTTTCTGTGTGTCGATGAAATCCATCTAGCTGCGTGTTAGTCTGCATAATCTGGGACCAACACATACAATTCAATTCTACTTATATTCCCGATTAATATTAATATTACTACGTAATAATTATATAAAACAGTTAACGTAACAACTTAACATAATTATATAAAATATAAACTGAATAACATTTAATTATATAATATAAATTATATTTAATTATATTTAATAATATGATTATATACAGCAGTTAACATAAATTGAATAACATTTGGCAAGAATTTCAAAGATAAACTCCAAAACGTATGACAACAAAATAACATACGAATATTAATTTGACACAACAAGTTCATTAGGAGGAGGAGTCCCAAAAGACCCAATAAAAAGCAGTCCCAAAAAATTAAAATTGGACGAAAAGATAGAACAACGAAGAGACGAAGCGGACAAAACAGAGTACATCGAAGAGACGAAGCGGTCGAAAGAAGAGAACAAAGATGAGAAGAAGAAAACGAAGCAGGGAAGATTGATTTAAAGCGCAAGAAGCAGGGAAGATTAACGTTGCAGCAGGTGTCGCTTGGGCTTCGTTCATCCTAAGTGGCGATGGGTTCCGCGACTTCTTCCCCTTTTTTAGCTTTGAAGTCGCAACTCGTGTAGATCGAAGAATCGTACGAGTTACGATTTTACTCGATGATCCGACGATCCTAGGGCGTTTTCTGATCCCAGCAGCGATCCAGCTCGCACCTCCCTATTCTGATCGTAAAAACGTACGATCCTGCGATTTGGATCGCGATCTTAACAACATTGCCTAGAATAGAAATCATGTAAAGGTGTGTGAAGCAAGACTTAAAAAGTCCGAACTTAAAGGAGATGATTCTGATGGAGTTTCATCTCCAACTCTTTGTGATGAAGGAGAAAGGTGAGATGTGGATGGAATGATGATTGAACTGAGATCCCAGTGAAGGGGCCATTGAAGTCAGATGATTTCTGGAGAAAGAGCGAGAGAGAGATCTGAAGTTGTCAAGTTGTTGAAGCGTGAACCGTAGATGTGTAATGCAGTAATGGGATAACCCTTGATCGATTTTCAATTGAGCTGGAAAATGCCCCCTAAAAGTAGTGCAATTATATACTACGTATAAAATAAATATAGCCTCCATATTCCATAGTGTAGTAGTGCACTTACATTATCCTAATAAAGTAAGAAATCCAACTCAAAAAAATGAACTGTAAAACTCATAAATAAAAGAAGGCTTGCTCGTGAGACAACTGAATACTTGAATCAAGAGTAAAATTTCAAAAACAATTAACTTAATTTTAATACATTGTCAAACCAACAAAGATGTGTTATTGTCTATGATAATAGAAAGTGAGTAAAATTGGCAATTTGGTGTTCTAATAATAGAAAGTGAGTAAAATTGGCAATCTATTGTTTTCAAAAATAGGCTTGAAAGGGGAATGAAGATGGAGATATGTCATGTTCATGATTCAGCCTATTGTATTAATACAATAGGCAGAAAAAAAAATTTGGAGTCTTCATTATAGAGTAAAAAACAGGAAAGGATGCTAAAATTTGATAGTATTCTCCAAACAAACATATAAAAGTAAAACAAATCTAATCATCTCCTCCAAAAAGATCAAAGCCAATATCCTCCTCGGATTCGTCTTCAACCTTCTCTTCCTTTTTCTTCTCTTCAGCAG